CAATCTATACTAACTATTAATTAATTTACATGATTCCGTACCTATCTGTGAGGACTGAACTATAATATAAAACACTGGACATTATCTCATAAGTTTGCTCTTTTGTATACCGTTATCGTTTGCATCATATTTCAGTGTAAAATCTTTATATTAATATTTTCTTTATTAGAACGCAATAGCCAGTTTCCCCATAGTTCTGAATAATCTAGGTGGGCAAGTACCCTAGTACCTGAGTTGTGCTTCTCTCTGTGACAGTTAGTTTTATTGAAGCGGTGATCTGGGTTTGAATTCTTCGCTTCGTGCTGGGTGCCAGCTTTGTTACAAAATACCTAACAGCGGTAAAACTCGACGCACATAGTTCAGTGTCTACTCTTGTGTAGATATATCTTTCGTTGTCTCTTGTCGCTTTTTTTTTCGTTGGTCAATTATGAACCAGATTTGCTTCGCTGGCATCGATTGGTGTCGGCTTGTCCGCGTTGAGGCGTGTCACGTTGCTCTATGTTAACCAAATTCTGCGTGTTACATGGTTGAGCGTCTATAACAAAAACTCAGATTAGAATTGTTGCTATAAATGTGACTCAGCGGTCCCTTTACGCGTGGTGGTTCGTGAAGTAAATATATTTCTTTTCGCGATCTATTGCCAATCTTATGCCATAGTGGCGCAAAGCTGTGCAGGCCGACATCATGTTCGCTTTGAAACAAGGTACCATGTCAGAGGACGTGACTGTCTGTGGTGCCGCGTGATACTGCGATTCATGTGTCCGTATTCGCTTTCTATAAATTTCTGGCCTCTGTGTAGTTAAGCGGGACAGTCGTTATGCTCGAGCTCGATTCGCTTATCCGAATCAACTGGTTCGACAGGACTGGCCCTTCTATAATGTTCAGTTGTGTTTCCGTTCTCTAGGTTTAGGACCGCTAAAAATCGTTCATATTAGTCAGAGCAGGGGTCACTACCAAGTGTCGTCTACTCTTTAGGAATTCTACCCGTTTCACTCTTCCTTGCCGCCAGTGACTTGATGACAATTCACTGTACAAATCGTATCTTCGGTAGTTGGTAGCATCTGCGGAAATTCGGTCAACAAAAGTTCTAAGCTGGTGACAAATTGATTGCCTTGTTGCTCGCCACTCTAATACTGCTCTGTTGACATTTTCCTCGTTCGAGTGCGATCTCCCGACTATTCTGCCGGCCATCCAACGGCGCGTTCCGCCCTTCCATTCGATTGATGACTACGTATCTAAATACGTACTTCTACTCCGCATCGATAGGGAGCTAAAGTGGTTTCTGTTCGTCTTGTTGAGGATCCGATCTGTTGTCGTGCTTACCTCTAGTTTATCTGCCTCCAGGACGTAACTATAACCGTCCACTGTAGTCGAACGAGCCTAGACAAAGATATCCTGATGGATAACTTGCTGCAGTCTCTGGTAAACTGTTTTATTTAGCCCTAAGTGCTCTTTTTCATTAAATGACTGACAAGCGTTTCATTGTTTCATCCAATTCTTCAAATAATTCCTGATTCTAATCTCCCAGTATATCGTATTTCGGACGCGATGGCACGTAGCATCGTGAGTCAATTGTGATTCATGTGTCCGGCAAATGCTTTTCCGAGATCAGGCGGAATTATCACTGGTGATTTCTGTCTACCGGCCCATTATCTGCTACCTGTTCATTTTTATGCTCTGATGTGGGAGAGATTATATTGTCATTGTGTGGCATTTTTTCATTGATAAGCCAGTCTCTCTAAATGTTCTCTATTAGCTGATCCATTACTTAGATTATGGAGTGCCCGTTCTAACTACGTCCACTAATCGACCCGAAAAACTGTTATAGTTAAGGTGCTCAGTCTGTTTTATTGTTAGTCCGCAGACTGGTAGTTCACGCGTAAAGAACATCGGTTCAGCAAATTGCTACGTGATTCGATCTGTGTGACATATGCGTCCTTGCTATGCCATATTATTCCTTAAGTTCGAAACGCATATGCTGGACATTTTCGGAATATAAGTCTATAAGGCTTCACAGTGATTTGTGATCCGTGAGCAATGTCACTCCATTCATGGCGTATATATCATTTTTCCCGTGTTATAGAGCGCCTAGACACGCCGTCGTTATTATTCTACATTCAATTGCTGCTGATGAATGTAGATGGTGTTTATTGGCCTACCGTCTTCTATTGGTAAAACACCCAGTTCGAGGTCACTTGAGCCTGCTTGAATTATAATTGTTTTCTCTTTATTGAATAAACTTGATAGTGTTGATGCCTCAATATGTTTCTTTTACTCGCGTAAAAGCTTCCCGTTGCTGCTGTTGTGTTAGCCTACGCAATGTCTCCGTCATAGGTTAGAAATGAACGAAAGGATATAGTTAAGGCATCCTAAGAAGCTTCTTCCCACACACATCTCTGTTAGGGTGACATTCTTGACATGGGCTTTATCGTTTCAGAATTTGTTTTCGGTCCCTCTGCTGTGAGATTGCAGAATCGAAATGCTCCCTAACGCGTCTTTTTGAATAAAGCCTGCGAAGTCTGATAATCGCTTTTGAAGCTTTACTCTACGGTGTCTCTTTCTCCGCATGCGACCGTATCATCCGTGACCTCGGGACATTTCGGCGTCCGTCGTAAACCTCGGCTTGACTTCTCAGATTCTTCTAAACCTGAAGCTACTTCTTTGGGAACTTCACAGTACTGATACGGCGGTATGGGTATCCAGAAAGTTGTGTAGTCACATCTTCTTCTTCTTCATTTCTAGGAAGAACCTATTTTTGTTGCCTGGTATTAATATTTGTTTCGCTGAGGCGGTACAAGGTATCATTCAGTATGGGTATTAAAGTTCCAGATCTCTGATTTATTTTATTGAATGGATGCGCGTTTGAAACAGTTTGTAACTTCTGGCCAGATTGGTGAACGGCTATAAGGCTGGAAACCCATTTTGCCTGATGCTGTACTTTCTAAATCATTTCTTGGTACTCCAAATCCTTGACGTAATCACTATGGCCTATGCAGATACTACTGGCAAAGAGCGAGGTGGTTGCTGCACAGGTTTAGTTCTGTCCTTAATATCGATTTTTACTGGTTGTGGTAACTTAACTTAGAGTCTTACAACTTCTTTACCTTGACAGTTTTGATCTTGAGCGTTGCCGACCCCACAGCTCTCACTATGACTAGTGTATTCTTGTCAGCTATGCGTAGTTCTCCTATGCAGTTACTTGACTCTATGTGCGTTTTTAAGGGCATAAAGTTATACGATGCTACTGCTTCGAGAAGGTTTTGTAACTTTCTTCATTGGTCTTCGGTCCGGAGATTGACGTACAGCTTCCGTTTAAGCACATGCCTTACCGTCTCCGTTTGAAGGAGATCGTATTTCTGATCTGAATCAAAGCTTTGATATTCATTCTATATGTACATTTTGATAGCTGCTACGTATCACTGCGATGAGGCCTCAGCAAGAGCCTTCGCGGGCCAGCGTTAAGATGAGCTTTATTTTCGATGTCATTGGTATTCTGGGTCTACTCGGAAAGTCGGTTTGCATCCTCGACAATAAGCCTGAAGCGCGCCACGTGCAGACGATTACACGAGTTTGTATATCGAGTTTGTTTAGCTAAAAATAGCCAGTTTATGCTTTAAATCAATCATTTATCCCATTAGACAATCATCGATTTTTGAGAATTGAAGCTGCTTGCTTGTTTTTATTGTTACCCGCTATCCTGCACTGCATCTACTACCTGCTTTGACTTCTTCAAATCTCGATTACAGTTCTGGCTTCAGTTGGACTGCTCCGTGTTAATGTGTTGCTATTATGAACGACACAGAGGTTACGATGCTACTAACGCGTAGATGTTTCGAGGTTTATTCTGCCAACTGTTGCAGAGTTTCCCCACCTAAACAAATAGACCAATATTCTTATTATCGTAGGAAAATATTTACTGTCTCATATAACTGGATAAATTATTTTGCTTATTTAAATAATAAATAATAATAGTTTTTATTTTTTATTAGCATAAACAGTTGAGTAAATTTGAGTCAGTCTTATTTTATCAGACGTTAAAAAATGTATTATCTATTATATGCAAGTGACATTAATGTTTTATTTAAAAATAGCTAATTTTACTAGAAAAATTCTATAGCTAAAATAATTAGTGCAGCTTCTTATAATCTCCGAAATTATAAACATAGTAAGTTTAATCTGGAAATTAGTTTAATCGGCTAAGAACGATTATATCTTAGTAATAGGTTTGTTATTGTATGCTTCTGGGTAACGTGAACAAGACAAGGCGCATTGCTATTTTAAGTAATGAATAAAAAAAATCGCGTTGGATGGGCTCAGTCGCTATGTGTAAAGGACAAAATCTACTTGAGTTGTTTTTTTAATTAAACTTTAGTACCAGAACGACTAAAACGTAAATATTAGTTTGCTTAATCTTATTTTTCTGTGAACGTATTTTTATTTCAGGTCGTATGATCTTTCTCGATCGAGGTTCATTTGTGTGTTATTTAATTTCTAGTTTACTCGTAATTTAACATAGATCTAATACAATATGTCTTGTAAACGGTAGCTGCACGGCTTGTCTATCTAAACGGTCGTCGAATTAATTGAATTGATTTGTCTTATATTCTTGCTACTAGCATCATATTCTGCTCATTTTACCTTTCTAATTAACGAATAAAATATTATAAGGGGCACAACGAGGGCTATATTTTGACGGTCAAAAATCGCTGGCGCTCCAGCAGCCTAGTTCTCATTATTACAAACATGTATCCGCTCTAAATATTTCGTTGCCATTTGTTTGATATCTGCAGAGTACTTGCCGAAGTAGCGCCTTTGCCAATGGCGAGCGATGAGCTTTTTCTTCCGAATCGTCACTCCAGCAGCCGTTGGCGTTTCGTCTGTCAGAGATCGTCTGTCGTTACGGCAATCAGATTTGAAATTTGACGCTGATGTCATCATTATCGTCATCGTCATCGTCATCATCATCATCATCATTTGCTTATATCGTCAATGAAGAAGCGGTCGAAGGCAGTGATTAAAAGAATAATGACTAACCAAGTTTACCTGTTGAAAACAATTTTGAGAGACCGTTGTACAAGTTGGTAAAATAATTGTACAGAATCTGTGACGTAAACAGGCTAAACTCGTAGTACGATCATAACAATAAGCAGATATTCAATACGGGAGATTAGGAGCCAAAAAAAATCCGACATCTTCCCGTGCACTCACTAAAGAAGCTTCTGTCGAATGTATTCGAAAAGCTAATAGAGCGGATTATATGACAGTTACAGTTTTACTCTGGCAGCTATGCTACATATATTGAACACATATTGTAAAGTAGATTTCGAATCATTCCGCTAAGCATGGCATCGGCGACACTTACCAGTGGCTTTTGGTTATTATTTAGGGCTCGTAGAAGGCCCTGTTAAATGACAACAGCTTCACTCCGACCCTCATTACAAGTTTACCTATTCCTTCAATTAATACGTCTATCTGACTGAAGCCCTGAGTCGGTGCTGCGTGTCGCCAGCAAAAGCGGTCGAAGAAATTCTGTGACAGTACTATATAGGAATTTAATCTCCTCTACGCCTCTTCAAATCGGAATAGAAACAGCTAAAGAAATAGACTATGATCATTGTATGATGTCGTTTTTTCCGTTGGTTTAAACACGAGTTACCTAAGTGTGCTATGGCTGAGACTTGAAAGGACATGATGCCATCAGGCCACTGATTTCTTTATGTTAGAAGAAGACCATGTTGTCGCTTAACTGGTCGGTTGGTTAACTTTTTCTTGTTAGAGGATCATGTCGAAGTTGGGGTGAGCTCCTCCTAGAATGAGCAGTATCAGTTGAATTGATGCCCCACCTGATGTAACAATAGACGGAGATCAGACCGTCCGCAGACGCAGCACTGAACGCTATTTACAAACCAGTTAAAGCAATACAATTTCTCTGAGCGGAACGGAATAGGCTTGGCGTTAACAACGCGAATTATCCAGGGAATAGTTTCCGTCTGTTTGATTTTTCAGATTTACTCAGACGAATGAACATTTTTCTCATCTGTTAAGAGCGAATCAAAAGGAATCACCACTAAAATATAACCCTCTTGAAATAATCCAAATGTTCAATAGAAGCAGCAAAGTTCGTCGAGCTGAAAATCGAAAGCAAAAAGTATTCTCTCTTCGCCTCTGATAACAGGTCATGTTATGCCGTGTTAACGATTTTGTTCAATTATAAAGTGAGAATCTGGCAAACGAAGACTTTTTTGCTCCGCAAAGTTTTCGATTTGTTTTTGTTTCTCTGGCGGTAACTGGATAAACCTATTTCAATAGAATAGCTCGAGCTTACCTTCACAGCCATTAAATGCTGGTAGTCGTAGAGCATCGTCAGGTAGAATTACAGAAACTAATCAACTGAGATATTTGAAGAAAATCGAATTATTTATATACGTGAACAACGCGTTTAGCCCCTGCATATACAGCTTGTAGTTTTGAAAGAACTTGGCTCCATGAGAAACAAATACCCCTCCCCTCTCCCCCAAGAACCCCTAACCCCTTTCGCTTTTTTGTCAGGACGATGGGTTGGGAATTTTCCGTGCTTGGTTTCGACCTGCTTCAGTTCTTACTCCGAATCTTTTGTTTCTCTTCCTCCCTACCTGCCTCCGTACCGATGTGCTGCGAGGTTTAATGTGCTGCAAAAAACATTAGCAACTTCCGAGCAGATCAACTTAGATGGGACATCAATCATCAACTTAGCCACTTTAGTGAAGTAAACTTAAAAGCTAAACAGGCTTAATAAATACATGTTTTTTTCTCCATTTATGTCCGCGCGAAAGTATTATTTCGGTAAACATGAAAATAGCATGTTTCGAGGCCGATTTATCTCGCTTAAACGAGACAGTCGATTTCGTCTTAACGATCAACAGGTTTTCTGGTATACACCGTTGCATCTTTAAGCAACCAAAAGAAAAAAAAATGCTTCTTGAATGTCTCGAAAATAGCGTGCTTGCCCATTAAAAAAAAGGTTTAACAGAATGAGAAGTTCAGGTTTCGTTACAATATCTTGTAATTCGCTGTCTTGCAGACTTTTTTCTACTAGGTTTCTAGCAATATTTGAAAGGGCTTTGAGATTAGGTCTTGTAAGCCGTCTCATCATAACATCCAGAAGGTCATCGATTGTTCCTGTGGATCAGACAGATCATGTTTTTGGTATTTTGTTTCATTCTATCGTATCGTTATTGAATAGCAATTTCAATTTCGGTTCGAAAGCAAAGGGTCAGCAATCATATTGTGATATCAATCAATAGAGATTATTAAAATCCTCTTTGCACGGTCTAATGCGCTAAACAGTTTACCAGAGGCTTATTGCCTGTGCAGCGGGGAGGACCTTCGGTAGGTTAACAAAATTAATCATTAGAGTAAACAGATGTTACTAAAGTGCGCCTGTCAACATTAATTTCCACGTTTTTGTGATCACCTTTGTATATAAACGTGGACCTGTAAGATAACTTAAACCATTCTAGATACTTTCAAGACATATTCAATTGTTTTGATTAATAACGTTTTTCTGTTACGGTTCGGGTTCCTAGTTGAAGTTGTCGTCTTCCTACCTCGAAACTAAATTTTAACGAAACTGCATTAAGAAAAACGATCTGATAAGCTTAACCGTTTCCAACAACGGCGATTGTACAAAAATAATCGTCTTTATAACTATAGTTCCAGACCACATGCAACATACTACGATAGCTATTAGAATACCATCCATGAAAAGGTTTGGTAGCGCTGCCCTGTGGCCCGTTGTTTTTATGGTTCGATCCTTTCAATTCAATGCATCGAGCGCTGTGTGTTTTCCCGTTAATGGACAAACAAGGAGGCGTCGTAACCACCAGTAAAGATGACATGCGAGTCCGCAGCGCCGGTGCGCGCGTCGCTCCGACATTTTTATAGCCGTTTGACTATAAAAAGTTCTTCGAAATATTACACTAGCTTAAAAAAATGACCACCTCACACCAGCAATTCGCACTGAAATATTTAAGGAGTTTTGTGGCCGATGGGGTGTACTGATCGTATGAAAACACCAATGGCTGTGTGATAGACCTTGATAGTTCTTCCTTCTTCCCCCAAAATAGATCCCCTTCGACGGTTAGCAACAGGACGACACCATAGCCTAATTTGGTTCGTTTGAATTTTTTCACTAACGACTATGCCTCGTCTAATGATTAGAATATCGTACCATCGTTTAAGAGATTGGTTTAATGTTTGTATATTTTGTTGCCTACACACGATTCACTATATGCTGGTCCTAGAATGTAGGATTTTAACAGGAGTGTGCACTGAAATGAAAGAGCTTATTTTAGTTACGTTACTCAAGCCTATTTTCCAATTTGCGCATTTCGTGCTGTCAACTGTGCTTAATCAACAACAGATAGAGATAGTAAATCACAGGTATTATACCAGCGTAGCAAAAAGTGACGCTCCATTTGCAGCCGTAGTCAGAAATCAACGAACGACACTTCCTTTCCAAGCCTTCGTGTTGCATTGCTCTTCTTCCATTGCAAATTAATTACAAGTCACATATTGAAAAAATACTGTTCAAAAGTGTATCAGTTCAATATAGCTCGGTGGCTTTATTATGCTCTTAATGTTAACTGTACTATTATAGAGCTTGCCGATTCATCGGAGGTACCGTTGACTTTTTATTTTATGTTTGCCATTGCTACAGAGATGCAACAGGATCAACAAGATGTAACTGGGAATGTGTAACTGCACAAAAATCTACGAACAAAGATGAAGACGCACCAAAGTAGTCGAATGGAACGTCCTGTATTAATCACGAGGTGGGTCTAAATCAGTGCTCTACGCGGTTTTCTAATAAAAATAAGTTTACCATCCTTTATTTGATCTAGCAAATATGTCCCCGTTTGTCAAAAGCGTCTTTCTCAATTTTCTATTTCCGTGTTTTGATTGCTTACTTTACGTGATTGCTACGTTATTGTGCTCGTCACCGTCAGCACCTATATGTCTGCTTCTGAAACGCTAGCGTCGACAACAGGAATCAGTAACCGAACATCATATTATACTGATCATTTTTCGTTCCCAGCGGAGCCGCTTGGAACAGAGTCTGGGTCGAGCGGCCCCAGGGCGAGTGGTCCGTCGCCGAAGCCGAAGCTACACTGACTCCGTTTTTCCCCTCTACCTGGGGAAAGCAGCCCAGAAACAGAGAGAGAGAAGAAAGCATACACGGAGCATAAGCAACACGGCGAGCGAGGCAGATGCAGCAGGGAAACAGTACGACGAAAAACAGGCAATATTCCATGTTATCCTCCTGGGTAAAATGATACAAGAAGGCGGTAAAGCAGGCGGTTGGCGACGGATCGACTATTAACATGACGAAATGGATCTTTTCCCATTGTTCCGTGTTTTTTTTTCGCTTTCAATGCTGATCGCAGTAGCAGCAGAAGCATTAGCCACCACTTGTGAATAGCACCTTAGTCGTCGTTACATGTAGCGTTGCCAGTGGTTAGAGGTAGATAGATAGTTGACGCTGGCCGATGTTGGATCCAGCTGCTGGTGATACATTTCGTTCTTCCTGATAACAAAACTATAATAATGACGATTCTGCTTTCTCCCTATTCGTCTTCTTTTTATTTTTCTCTTGTTTTTCTTTCATGATTGAATCGAATTTAACTGTGACATCTCTATGTGCTGGTCCACCCATCGTCTGCCTTTGGCAAATCTCTTTTTTGAGGGTTTGAAGGCGATGAGGGAAAGAGATGGGGATGAAAGGGGTAAGGTTTGTGACAGGAAAATAATGTTTTTCGACGGCGATAGGCTCATTCTTTGTTCTCCTCCATTTGTCTGCTTGAATATGAGTGGTAAGAACACGAATCTTGTTCACTGCAGTGGTGCAGTTAGTCCTCGGAAGGAGACGGACCCCCATATACATGAACAAAAATAGTATAATAACCGTCGTTCCTGTCGTGACACGACAGGGTCGCCTGTATCTCTCTTTATGACTTATGTAAATAAGTGCGTTGGTGCAGCTTGCTCAGTTATATATATAGCAGATGCAAATTAGAAGTTTTTTTGGTGGTCCACTAATTCTAATATGGCACATCCAGTAACTAACTACAGGAAACGATAGTATTATTATTGTTAGTATTAGCGGCAGTAGTAGTATTAGAATTTAAGTTTTTTATTCAATAAATAAATGTTTTTGTACAGCAGATTTGAGGTTGAGCAAGTAGGTTGGGGAGCTAAGGGCCTTTGCTTCTTGTCCTGTCACGTTTATTCTCCACGGCTATAATTAAAGTGTGGGTCTATCACACTCGTGTTTGCCATATTGGACCTCTTGCAAAATATTCACACTAACACGAATAAACACCAACGTATGATTAGAAATGTCGTAGACAACATGAAGTTTTTACATACGCAAAACTTGAAGTTGATTACACCTAAAATTAAGAGGGTTGATGCTTTTATATAATCAAAAACTGTTAATCTTCTTCTCATATCACACTTTAAAGTACACAACTATATAAGCTGAGTAATTGTTCTCTAAAAAAATTACTTCCTAATATTTAGAAAAAGCATCCGCTTTTACCAGGCCTAAGTATTTAGAGTGCAATTTTTTTTTCGGGCTTATATGAATAGTAGATTGGGGAGAGATAAAAGCACAATACTTTGCTTTTTAAAATAGAACCCAATTAAAAATTCAAACTAAAATCGTTACCGAATTGATCGCATTGATAGTTCCTTCAGAAAAGTAATAATAGACTTACATCATGATAATATATATATAGGCGCATTTTTTCTGCCCGTGCGTAGTCAATAGTCACAGTCTGGAGCAACAAGAACGTGTTACGAAAAGCAACATGATTTGTTTGGGTGTCGCCATCGAAGTCGAAGTGTGGCAAGTGAGGTTGACGAAGGAGCCCTGATTTTGTGAAGATGCAGAAAAGCGGCATCAAAAGCAGGTCAACGAAGCTGCTTTGGATCTTTGCACAGCGGCAACTCTTAAGCCATGTCTACCCTTTCGGTGAAAAAGATTTGAAACCATAAATAGCTCCCATCATAAATAGCTTCTAGCGGGCTCTTCTCCACATAAACATGCAAAACCATATACGTGTCTACGTGCGCGTTTTGCGATAGACATACATAGAAGCAATTTATTATAGAATCCATTAAAGAAAGTAAGCTTGATTACCGTGCGGGGTAATAAACGTTTTTTGCGCTTAACAAAAATTCTCGCTCACAACGAATTCAATTTTAGGGAACGTTAAGAGCCCACATACGTGCACGTACAAAATAAATGTGATCTTGAAAACCTGGAAAAGATTCAGTACCAGCACTCTAAAACTTGAGGTCATTAGTATAACATTTGGCGTTCTGGCGAGTCCAGTTAGATGGTGTTACAGTATGTATGTATGTATGTATTTAGAGGGGCGTACGTCGTGGCTTGTTTTCTCGTGTTGCGTATGCTACCAAGTGTATATGTATAAGCATACTGCGCGTAAGGTTACCTTTCCATCACCATCATCCACCATATTAAGTTAAATTCCAAAAAGAAAATTTGAGAATTACCACTTTCGTTAATTCATCGCAGTATGACAAAAATACTACTTCGTGGCTTCAGAGTGAACGGTTTAATCATAAGTACGGGTCGTATGTTTCGTGGTCTGTTACTTAGGCTTTCCCAACTCATGTGTTCTATGAATTCGATTCAAGAAAAGGGGTTTCGTTCTCGGATGCCATACTCTGAATTACAAGTGTAAGTAAGCCAAACAGCAGCCAGGGTAATCAGTCATATACACTATTATAATCAGTTACTATACTTATTGTACTAACGATACTATCCGTGCCCAGTTGACTAATAAAACTGGGCATAAGACATAGCGGAAAGGGTTATATGAAAATGAAAGGTAACTGAAAGTTGTGATTGGAGAATAGGGGACAATAACATATAGTATTATTATTTGAGACCAATCAGAGTGTAGGAAATCGTAATAATCCTAATCGTCATCATAATTGTTACAGACAGGGCATTTTGCCCTTGCATGGGCGTACCGCACTGAGCGTGATGAAAAAATAGGATAATCAGTAATAACTTATTGTTGCAGTTTTTTAGTTATCATTACGAAGTTTGCCTTCGTGCGACTGCTGCATGACGCGACGTTACTCTTAGTCCTATTGCTTTTAGTCAAACTAAATACCATAGGGCTTCTCACAAATTTTTTACTCGATTTTTGCCTACTCTTCCGAATAGGTGAGGAGATGTTGTCGAGCAAATACATCAACGTAAAACACAATTTCGTCACGCGTTCCTCTCGATCTGCATTGATTTTTTTCTATCCCGTTTTTATACTGACCTCGCCACCTGGTTGTACTATAGCTTTGGATATTCTAATGGTAATCTTCACAGTGTACTGTAATAGATAATCGAAAGTCAAATGATCTTTTGCTTTTCCTGATCTTTTGGTTGATTTAGTTTAGATGATGGATGGGCAAATGATTGGATATTCTCAGTAACTAATAACGGTAACGGTATTATGCGTTACATAGATATTATATGTACAATGGATTCGTTTCACCTGAAACGTCGCCATCAAGATTAAATCCGTTTTGCCAGCCAATATTATCATTATAGTTACTGATTTTATATAATATTGAACTCTGCATTCGGTTCCAATGTAAACCTATCTCGTTGAAATAATAAGAAAGGTAGATGCTGGATGGAATAAGAAAGATGATTCTGGAATCTCTGTACCAGCTTGTATATTCCACTGCACTATCTCGAATTTTCGCCTGAACTACGTTATAAAACACGCGACGCATGTATGCGTTCAAAGGAAAGTTGATTCCGTTTAGGGATCTGCTTTTCTAAGCAGTCTTTGTTCAACAAAACAACCGAGGGCGACCTTTAATTGATGGCTTACTGTCACTGTCGGCGATAAATGAAGGGGGCGCAAAAGCCGACTTGAGCGATATACAAAATTCACTTAATAACAACAATAACGTTAATCTCCGTCACCATAATGGGTTCGACTGCGTTAACGGTTTTCTTTATTTTTCAGTCTTCACGAAAATTATTGGCTTCGAAAATACCGGCTTAAGTGTTAAAAACTACGAGAAATCCTTCACACACCTTTTTGTCCCAACAGACGGATAATATACTTTGCTTTAGTTCTGGATATTCTTGTAAATTTTGCCGATTTATCGTTACTATTGATGCTTTCTCAAGCTGTCTACGTATAATGGAAACTCAGCTCGGACTAAGCTTACACCCAATGCTGGAGCAAGCTTTTTTTCTAAGCTTCCTATAAACATCATTCGTAGATCTTGAAGCTCTTATATAGGGCGAACATTATAGTCTCTATCTAGTCTTGGGCTGTACCAGTACCTTGCTTTGAATAAAGCTATTACTAACGGACTCAATTAAACAAAGCAAATTTTCTTATTTCAATAAAAGCGTCTTGTCAATTTTTTTCCATAAGGGCTGCCCAAATCTAAGGCGAACAAGTCATTTATAATAGCAGTCTTTTTATGTGTATCCCACCTTTTGCGAGAGAATGAAGTTCTGAGCGGGACGACGCGCTGTATTGCCTAACAAGATTTGTCTTTGAGCATTATGAAGGAATCCTGGTTGGCTCTTTGAATGGTAGTAACAGTTAATTTTCGAAAACAAACTGGTATTTACTACGTCTAGCTTTATCTATATGTGGGTAACAGACACTCAAACATTGACAAAGGTGACGCAAATATTAGCCGCAGTTTTGCTCTTCTGGCAAGCGACTCTTAGCATCACTGAACATTTATGCATAGCATTGCTTGTTTTGATATGAAGCAAGAGTGTCGAGGAAAAAAAGAGTGATTCGGACTCAAAATCGAAGTGTGCTGATGTTGATGGTGGTACTCGAAAGCCTCTGGCGAAAGCGGCACCTCACCGGCGTGAGCAAGCCTGACTCTGACTGCTTTTCTTCAAATGTTTTGTTTTTTGTCTCCCACTCTTTTTTTATTGGTGGAGAGTCTTCACTATTCTTTTTCAAGGATTTGTTCCCCTTCGGTAAGGTAAATGTCTTTTTTTGCCTCATATCGTTTCCGTGGTCCCTTTCTGTCTCTTGCTTTTTTCCAGTTTTTTTTTTTCACCCGCGTGAGTAAGTGGAATTGGTTGCCCTGTGCCCTGGAGACGGCCTGTCGTCTAAACGGAAAATCAGGAAATAGAAGCTTGAAGCTACGTAGCTTCACATACTTGTAAAGTCAGTTGTGTAAATATTACGGGCATGGGCATAATTCATCATTTAGTACACTTTGACTACCTAATAAGCAGATAAATGAAATTTCAAGATGCTCGTTGTTGTCGCCAGAGAAGACAGGATTTGAAATGTCTGCGAGTTTTGAATACCGTTTCGATGTGCAAGCTAAATTGTCGCTGCGTTTGATTCCGCACTAACTGAATGCTTTGGTTTGCCGAACGTTTCTGTCTGTCATTAGACGAAGATCTTTATTCTGAAGATTTTCGTTTTTTCTAGCGCATCCGCTGGCCACATCCCATCCGGGGCCAAAAATCCGCTACCGATAAGTCGTTTGACATTTCTGACCCCGATCTTCGTTTCGTCTCGTTCGGAACTCTTCCTTGGCGCATCTTCAGTATTCTGGATCTACCCGGAGTGTGTTGCGGTGCGGCGTCGGTTGTTGGCCAACTTTGAAGGATCTCCGTCAGCTGCTGGTATAATACATCGTTGCCGTTGGTGCTGTTACCACTAGTGTACTTCAATTAATATTGCTGGCAAAAGACTGCTTTTCGTATACCGCTGAACAAAGATCACAGAAAGAACATGCTGTTTTCTATAAGGCTTTTGTCGATACATAACCGCGTAGCGTTTTTGTTAAGCTTGCCGATGCTCCTCCTATCGTTTGAGCCCGACGATAACTTGATCTCTGTCCTGGGCCCGTCGGTCTGCCTGTCTGTTTGTCCATTGATATATCTGTCTGTTTGCCTGCCTGCCTGCCTGCCTGCCTGCCTGAATATGTCGTTCAACCTCGCCAACCCGACAGGAAGGACGAGCAGAGCAAAAGCGGTGAGTGTGCCGTCGCGCGTTAGATGCCGTGGGGGTCTTCGTTTCTCCTCTCGGTGACTTGACGGTGGTGGCGCACAGACCGACCGAATGACCGACCAAGCGAACGGGACGAAGTGGACGAGGCAAAGGCAGCCGTAACAGCAACAAACTTCCCATCGTCGTAGTTGTGGTCGTCCTGCTGCTGCTGCCGCCGCCGCTACTGCCGCCGCATCCGTCGCCGTAGCGGCAACGTCAACTTCAGCTCTTTAGGTCTTCGCGTCTTTAGCGTGTGGCGGAGAGGGAAAAGACGGCGGGTAAGAACTCGTTTGGCGCTCGCTCTGTGCGTGCGTATGTATGTGCGTGTGTGTCTGTGTGCATATGTGTTTAGGGTCTGTGGCTTGGCTTGGTAGCCGGCGGCGTCACAGTTCTTCGGGACCCAAGGAACAGGCGAGCCAGCACCGTACTATTACCAGTCACTGTGCTGCACTGGCTGATACTTTACCGTCGCGTTTACCAACACCGCGCTTGCTATTTTAGCAGTTGGAAGTGTCTGTTTTTTTGGCTCGGCTTGGGCTGATTTGGGGTAGTTTCCATCACTTTGTACAACATTAGCAAAAAAACAGGTCAATTTACTCGAAGAAGTACTGGAGGAGCAATAAATGTAACCGGGGCTGGTGTTCAGGAGAGGGTGGACAAGGTCTGTGATAAGACAACAAGTGAACCTGTTTCTCGAAACCATACGCAAACGAACAGGCCATCTGTGCCGTTGTGGACCCAGGACCGCGGAGCTACAGGGTGCTACGCTCCGATAGAAGTTGAGTGACTGTGCAAACAAAAGAGAGAAGTAGAACGGGCTCTATGCCCCGTGGATAGTGAGTGCCAAACAAAGGAACATGATTTTCTAGCTTGAACCAGGAATATATACATTTTATAACAAGGCTCGCCGTACTAGTTACGAGCGAGACAGTCTACCATCGTGCACGTCGGCAGGATGTCGCCGACGGCGCATGACAGTGATCAGCTACGCAGGACTACTATAAAAATGGCGATAACAACGACGACGACAATGACAAGCGCATCATCAAAAAGGGCGTTCGCGGCAGGAAGGAGTTCCTACCTGCCACCACCAAACACAATGTTGCGTATTGGAATACTCCTCGGCGTTGTCCTTGTGCAACAGGTACGTCCGTCATTTCATCATTTACTATCGAGGTTTCCTGTTTTAGCTACCGAGAGGAATCTAAAGGTTGTTGAAGACCAGCATCATCATACTGCGCCTCCCTTCTTCATATACGTAGCTATTCTGTTTGTCGACCGAAACGTACGGGAGCTGGTTGCTTCGAATGTCACGCCTGTGACGCCAGCCCAAGATGTCTAAGCAATCTTTTTTTGCCTAAAATATGGCGCAACGCCTCAAAGTATGATGACCGAGAAGCTCTAGCTGTCTAAGAAAGGGAGTGGGTGTCCATGTAGTATGCTGTTATTTCCTTACTTCTCTCTGTAAATTATCACTTGTGTGAGCATCCAGTCGGACTCGTTGTGACTACCTTTTGTCGATTAATATGCAATGCTTATTCGGTGCACTGCCGTTGTTAGTAGTGAGGTATTTTTAGAATATCCAGCTAATGAAATACTACGTAGAACATATGCGGATTATATAGTGGTCATAGGTATGTCTGTTCACCCTTGCTTCATAGGATAAGAGCAGTTAAAAGATAAAAAGAGACGACATGTATCGTATGTCCACATACTAGTACAGAAATCAGTCCTCGAAAGGATCCGATACCTAGTATTTCCAATTTTTTCCGAATGATTTCAAACTTCTCGATAGGAACCGTTGCGCCTCTTAAAAGCATCGTGGGTTTAAACGGCTCTTTTCTAAGGCTGTCTAAGCGATCTCTTCAGTAATGTCAGATTCGCTGAGATTGAACCATTACATTCTAGTGTAGGTAAATGTGTCTCATCCAGTCATCGTAATCGATTATCATCCATCCACCTGCCCTCCCCTTTGTATCTACGTAACTCATTCGCTCTACACCAACGGCAACCGGTTTAGACAATGTTCAAGAAGGCTTACGCTACGTGGATGCTACGTTTTGTTGGCGTTCGCTGTCTCAATATGTAGTAGCGTGTATGTGTGCCCCGTGGCCTATTCGTTATTTATTGAGTGTTGCCTCTTCTTCCCTCATCCACCGTTATTGTATTAGTTCAGACTCATTATCGTCATCCAGCTACAGCTGCTGTTTTTGTTGTTGATGGGATAGCTGTGCCTCCTACTGTAAGGGTAAGAAATGTATATGAATGTCTGAGGTATAGAAGAGTCGGTCAAGCACCGTCAATAAAGCACCACCACGCACTGGGGCAAATGTCAGATGAGGGTAAAGACGACAGGCAGACGTCAGTTACGTTGCCCGCAGCCAAGGGACGCTACGAGCGCTTTGCGAATTGCCAACAAGGATTACCCAACCAACACATCCGATCATTCAGGTTGATTACGATGCTCGCCCGAGGAGCAACGCCACCAGCGACTAACAACAGTTCCTACTTATGCCCCTTCTATCAGAGACTACTACTACATAGACTTACATATCTAACGGCGACAGCTGTTCGGTCCTCGTTGAATGACCTGTTACGGACGTCGTATTTGTTTTTATTGTCAGAGTCTTCCTTTTTTCATGTTTACATAAAATGTTTACGTGTGCTATCGCTGCGGCGAGGATGTCTGTGGTACGACACACAAACGCATAGACAATTAACTTGGCAAACATGCATCCTGGACAGCTGTTGAGCGTATAAACGATCCTATTACTGGATCTCTATCAATCGAATTACTGTGACGCGTAGTAATGTGCGACGGCAAAAATAACAGAAATTTCTGCTGCGGTAATAGATGTCAGTTAGAAATGATGTTGCTTAAGCACGTCGTTGCTGAGAAAGGTTTTTCTTCTTTGCCGAATCACTCACAGTAGGTTTATATCGCTAGGCATATATAGCTAGTAACGAATTACAGGTAACAAAACATTTCTAGAATGTTTAACACTTCTAGAGTGTTAAATGTAGCTATTCCAACAAGCATACGCAGAAAGGGATCGGTATGTTCCCGCATGCTTGACGATAGCGGCTTACCCCCGATCGACTAGCCAACGATGTATATCGCAACACAGTAGCAGGCAGAAATTCTAGCGAGGACGCGCTTACCACAAAATACACTGCACCATATTAAGCATATCAGATACAATTCCCAATAACGATCTCTGGATTGGCCTAATTAAAACTAGAGTAGGATAGGACTCCTGTCCGTTTAAGTCTAACAAAGAAACACGTTCCTCCTTTAGTCGTCTTATCAACTGCACGGAATGGCCCGTCTAGTTACAATAACGTCCAATGCAGCGATGTAAAAGGGTGACGAGGCCGACAACGTGAATGGGTTCTCTTACTATGAGATAAAGAAAACCAAAAGGACAGATTGCCCCAAAATGAAAGACGGCAAATTACGACGCACGAAAAAGAAGTTTCTTGTAAAATCGATTCTTTGCGTTTTTCTTTTTCCTTGAAATGGTTTACTGTCGCCGGCGCCGTCTCTCTGTTGGGCAACTTTCGCAGTGTGAAGTGCCGATGGCGACCTATAGTTTAAAAAGTTTCATTCGGCTAAGAAAAAAAGAAAATGAGAGTCGTCTGAATGAGCGAAGCAAAGTAGATTGACATTCTAACTAATGGCAACCACCAGGGGCAACGTACCACTGACAATTGCAAGGAAAGTTAAATTTTCTTTTCATTTATTGAAAATGACCATTTTGATTTTAATGCATAGGCATCGTGTCTCTGAGGCAAACGAAAGTTAAGAAGGGTGAAGGGTGAAGAGCCTTGTTCTTGTCGAAATACGTAAGATAAGGTGTGGGCATATCACAAACGAAGTGTGGCAAACAGAGATTGTTTTGGCAATTGTACGAGGGTCAATAGATGGAAGGGGAGTCGATGATAATCAACACGAAAAGTATACAGGATTGTGGTCTATTTCCGCTTAATGAATTTTTATGGCCATTGTCGCTATGTATATTATCCCGCGACTATTAAACTCAACATCCTTTGATAATATAAATTGATGTTGATTAACTCCGAGCCGAAACGGCACAATATTGCTACACAGTTCCTTTAGTCGCTATTTATCTTCAGCTTCAACACAGAGATAACGTGTACGATCTTCGTTACGAAGTGGTAAATCAATTCCCAACTCACTTCTGATGAAGTTTTTTAGCTGGGCTTAAAAGCTCTCCATGCATAAATCTATATAAATGAAAGAAAACGCTAAAAAAGTAGTTACTTTTTTAGCGTTTTCTTTCATTTGCCTCGTTCTTTCCCACAGATGCACGTTATAGTTTCATGCATATATCTGGTGCTCCCCGCCATTGGTGTTCTTCTTGGTGCCACGCTATCTCAGACGCGGATTTCTTTGTCTTTTCCGTTGGCAACGCATCGTGCGACTAACTATGTTAATGTATCTGATTGTCGCTTGCTCGCTACCGTCGATCCTCGGGCCACAAATGCGCCAAAAAAGTTGTACATGGTACGCGAAAGGATCTATTCTACACTATTTGTTGTATCTATATTCAAAAATCGAAGCCACGAGTATCGCTTGCAGCTGCCTGGTTATTTCCGTCTGTAGACGATCAATGTTTTGCTGCCATTGTGAATTTCCGTTCGGCTGAATGCTCATAACGGGCCGTCCTATACGCCGAAATCTATATGGCATCCGCTTTTGGTTCGGGCGCTGTTTCCACCGCAGCTGTGGGTATAAGTGTGTCGCAAAACAAAGGTAGAAATGCATCTTTTCAACGGAGTTGAAACTTGTTCTGCGCTGTCCGCTTGTTTAGGAGAAAGAAGTTCTACTATTTCCACTTTCGACTGCCGCATGATCTAGTCAGATTTCGACTAGCCACACATACGATGCTGAAGCTGTTAAGGGTGAGAGTTGTTCCAGCAGTTGTGGGAGTCCTTCCTCTTGCATGTGTGCACTGTCTTAAGAACGTGTTCTATATTCTGAAACATGCAATTGAACTGACTGTTATTAGCACCAGCACCACCCGTCGTGAACGGCCCGACGCAAAGAAAACCCACTTTTCACGTTTAGCATAGTGCTATCCAGCGCTTTTTGTCGAAAGAAAATTCAACGATAACACCCACATACCGGCCAGACCCTTTAACGATTCCCCTATTTATACAATAACGTCAAACCACACTGGCACGGTGCTGTAGAAACGATTGAATCTGACCAGAGACGGCGTGCATACTTTGATGCATCACATCTCTGGTATAAATTTTCGTACACGTTCCCTCTACCATGCAGCTAGTTCTGTTACACTAGACTAGTCACCTTCAGCCAAGCCGGCTGGGTTTTTATGTAACGATGTACGTATTATTGAAACCGTGTTTATGTCAGACAAGGGAACTCGGCCCATATCGATAAATGTGTCTATGGACAAAAGGCGAGCTGTTTAAATATGCTGTAATATAGCTTTCGGTCAATGAGTATTTAACACCCAACTGCTTGCTCATTGCTTGAAGTGACAGCTGAACAAAGAATATAAGCTCCATGCGCCGACGGATCCCTGTACTACGTCTACACGTATACGTGTTCGTGCGTGAGTCATGTCGTACCTCATTCATAAACTATAATCTTTGTATGTGTTTCCTTTATATTAAACTGACGAGTTACATAGCCGTCAAAGAAATGACCTAACGCTCGTTTCACTCTGCTTACAATCACAGCAATGACGGCTTGCCTCCAAAAGCCTGCTACTGGTGCTACCAAGAGAAGTATTTATGAACTTCACTTGAGAACGATTTTATGCCAACGCCGAGCGCTATCATAGGATAAGATTCTACTATAGAAGTGAAGCAGGAGCATTTCCTTGAGCTCGCAACATAATCTCTTATTCAAAGTCCATAGTGAAGTGATCCTGTTTTTGGAATTCACTAACATCTGAAGACTTCTGGATGATATTCCAAATGACTTTCCTACACGTCGATGACCCGTTGGTTTAAATTCTAGTTTATTTATCCGTCCATTCATCGAGCTGATCTATGCAGCGTAAGTATGCTTCTGTTCGTCGGCCATTCGGCGATGACCGCCACCTTGACAGCCGCTGATGCTGTTTCTATTGCCAGTTGTTGACGGTCAGTCCACCACGAACCGCACGAATCGCAAGGGTCATAGTGCAGCAACAGGAGCTAGCGTAATTCTCTTCTTCTATAGCTGACGACGCTCGGCGCTTGCCGACCCTTCAGGAGTCGTCATTTAAGGCGCCATTGTTTGCTCATTATAATCTATCTGTCTGTATATACCGTCTAGATATATATAGCCTTCTTCTGATTCAAACCAAGTTAACTTTGAAGCTATAGATATCAATCTATGCATACCCGTGCGAATATACTATTATGCACTCTATGATTTGAAGTGTCGTACGTAGCGTTCTGTCACCGTCTAAGAGTCGCAACCTATGTCTAAATAGCATGTTTATTTTGTCAGGCCACGACACACTGTTGGGCTAGGTGAAGAAAACATTGAGACTTATTTCTTATGAGACTTATTATTATTTATATATAGTCTCGGCCTAAAAGTTTGCTCAAATAATGTCTCAACTGCTGTATCATCGGTGGGCCATATGATCCTACGAACTCATTTTGATGTCCACGAATGTAAGCGTTGGCGAAATAATAAACCTTCCTTCATATGTACATAGCTAGAGCAGCAGCTGCCAGCTCGCTGTGCAGGCAGATCCTGTCTAGTCGTCAGCTGTATGAAGCATGACGCTTGCTTGCGTCATCGAGGTGATGATTCGAGGTGAGGCAAATAATGCGTGTGAGGCTTATGGACGAACTGAGAAACCAGAGAAAAAAACAAGATGCAGAGCAGATAATAACCTCCGAAATCTAAAGAGTTTCACCGTATATGTACACCGTACAAAACATGCAATCAGCGTTTCGGATCGGTCATCGCATGTCTACCATTGTTGTGCCAATGATCTCTTCGTGTACACTTAAAGCAAGTTTAAGTTACACGTCAATTAATATGGCGAATAATATCGCAATCTAATCAGCTTATAGTTTCAGAACACAATAAACACGTAACAATACCGTATGCTTCAATGTAGGAAGTTCAGTGCCTGCTGAAATTTCGCCTAAAATCAGCGTTTCTAATTTTAGCTCAGCGGATCAATTTATAGGGCTAAACCGACGAATTTTCGTTTACAAACTCAATATTCACTAATCAGATTGCCCTTCAGCTGTTTATGTTTAGATAAATGCTAACTTGTGCTGCTACGGCCGTTGATTTATATCTCATTTAAAGAAGATCACTTGGGCATGCTTCAAGCATAATATTTCTCTCAACGGAACGCCTCTAAAAGACATTTCGCTGGCTAACCATGTTGTCTCAAAGATAACTACCTTATTTCATTATCCACAACAGTTCATTCATAGTCTACATTACGTTTCAAGTTATATTCGTCATTGCGTTAACTTACTGTGAACTTATTTGCGGAAAATTACTTTCCTAGACAACTAACTAGAGAGCCTATCTCGATAAACTATTAGAACGTACGAAATCGCTCACTAGAGAACAAAAGACACCGTGACAAGTGATAGGACGTACCTCCCAACAGTAGCCGGTAGTCGTGGGCAATTTTCGAAGGCTAAATACTAGGCAATATAGTTGACGCTTGTTGGATGTTGGATGTGCCTTCCGCGAGATGTCGTTTTACGTTCTTGCGATCATGCGGCCATTGAAAACCTTCTACCATTAGGCTTGGCATGTTGACATCTGTCCAGACATCAGATAGGCCAGCTCAGCTGCCAAACTACTCAGTAGTCGACAGAACAATAGTTGAAATATCGGCGTTTTTCTTTATTTTGAGAGCAACCACTGCACCTTTAAAAATGCAATTATCCGAATAGTAGTCGGAAACGTAAGATTCGACCGTGTAATTAATAGCTAGCTAGCTAGCTCATTTTTACCGATTTGATCTTAACGGAATAATGAGCAAAACCGACACAGGCCAGAATCGAACTGCGTGTAGATCGACATAATGTAATAGTTTAAGAGATCCATGCATGGAAGACTAGACATGCAGCGAAATACGGCGGTACCGGAATATTTTCGACCAAAGCAATATGGCTGGAATTCAAATACGACCCTTAGCAATGCGTATTTTTGCGCGGCCTGGCTCTGGTCATACCCACACTCTGTCAAGCGGGCCCATATCGCGTAAATCAATTTCGTATAATAAACCTGCTTCTCAGATAGAATCAAACATAGATAATGTGCCTATCGAACATCGTGTCGCTGCAGTCGCACATGTAAACCCTGATGAACGGACGGACGGACGGACGAAGGGATAGACACGTACAATGGGGAGGGCAAAATGGAGATAGAAAACGTTTTGCTATTGCCATAATCAGTAGCAACAAAAGCAGGGGCGATGTAAGGCGAGGCCTTGGCATCGCACGACCAGTCAGACGACCAGTGCACGAGCAGTAGCACGGACGTCATTAGCAGAAGACTTTGGTACGCGCAGGAAACTACGACAACCACGAAGACAATTTACTGCTAATAATAATTATAACAATAATAGTGGTAGTGGTGATAAGGATATAAGAGGAGAAAAATGTCAATTTAGAAGATATAGTACCGTTTAATAGTAACTGGCCCATACGCAGTCCATTAATGTACATTCACCGGTGTATATATATATATATACTATATAGAGAGATACGTTTTACGTTGCGGACGCAAAAGTAGGAAATATATACATGTTCGTTACTATTTTGACACGCGTAGTACTACAACGGAAGTTAGTTGCACTTTACAACTAATTAAACTTATACAAAGCAGTATAATAGGTTCATCATCCGTCACAAGTTGCGAAAAGCCTTCGTCTTTCAAAAAAAATTATAAGATGCATCCAGACCTAAAACGGTACGATGTAGATATGTTAAGAATAGTGCATCGTAATATTCTGTCGTTCTAGATGTGTCTTGTCTAACCATGACATCTGAGATTGTGTAATAAGCAAACCATTAGCGTGTCTTGTCTTTTAGCCGAAACTAATGCGTATCTTGAGCTAGACACACATTAGTTTCAGCTAAAAGATTTAAAAACTAACGGCCAACAATATCAATACGTCAATACTGAACTCTCGTGCCGTAAATGATACGTATTTTTGGTCATCGTCAGCGATATGGGCAAAGGAAACACTTGGCCAGTGTTCAGATGATTTCTATTCTACTCACAGATGTATAGTTGCAATCGATAACTGTCTCGCAGACGAGCTGCTAGCAAACGAGCATCTGCACTATTCTGGTGCCTACGTCAGTGAATATTATTCTAGGCGTTTCCTCTCTAAAATAGAGTGTGTTATGCTTGAAATACGTTTACAAGTCAGATGGATGGAGACCTTCCAAGTTGGGGGGACATAATGAAGCGCTACAACAATCGCAAACCGTGTGACGATGTCGAAGGCGTTTCACCGACAGGGCCTCAGGGTACTGGCAGCACAGTCGACAGAGTCGTCAGCGTAAAGCAACTAGTATGTCTGATTCTATATTAGAAAGTACACATGGATACTCTGTGAACTATGAAAACCTTTATCCGCAATCCATCTGTTGTACTATGGTACACAATCGAGAAGATGCAGAACGAGCCAGTTCCAGTTAAAGACTATGAAGTACGATGCCACTAAGCAGTGATAGCATATAAATGACGATGCCATCAAGCTGCGAAGTCCTGCTAAATGGATTCGTTTTTGTAATGCAGTGTTTGATTTAGCGATTCTAAGGCCTGCCGCTTCACTCGGATTTCGCCATATCTTTACCCGATTATGATAGACTTTTTGGTAGTTCCTAACAAGTTGTACCCCAGCTCTAAACCAGTTCATCATCACATGTGATAATTAAATCGTACATAGGAGAAAAGTAAATAAGCTAACGAAAGGCACTTGGAATTTTTTCAGCAAACTGAAATTCTTCGCCCTTATTTTTTTCGTCTATGTTTATAAATGCAGGCCATTAGCCATTACATAAGTGGAAAAAGCCTATGTAAGGTATGGCAGGCTGCAGTAATTGCATGCAATTAATTAGTAAACGATCGGTACAAACTGTGTGCCAGCAGAACCGCTTGTTTTGGTCTGAAACATGGTTAGTTATTTTTTTAGCGACTGAGCCAATCGAGCGACTTCGAAAGTTTTAGACAGCATACATGGAGTCATCTGTGCATTCATAGAATCACTATGGTCCGGCAGTTAAGGCAGTTCAACATAGGGCGGCAATATAATCATCTTTGTCCTTCTTAAATTGACCACTCAACTGTTGGAGGACATGGTTTATAGTGTAGACAAGGACAGTACTTTTGTCGTCCTTCACTCTACTCATCTTTATTCTGCGTTCTATTCGGCAGCGTCCGATGGCAGGTATTGATACTTTTTCTTTTTTAATTTATTGCTGTTTCCTGGCACCTAGGGCAGCCTAGGAGTTCTGCTGCTCGCTGCTCTGAGCGGATTTGTATGTGTTCGCCAATTTTCTGCTAACGTCCATGCTTGATCTGTCGGCGGCTTTGTCGTCGTCAGCGCCATCTTACGGAGTGTTTGAGTAGGGCAGATGGGGTTGGTACCTTCACAACAACATTACTAAAAACAGCCAGCCGCCATGTTAGCCAACGGTAAGAGCAACAACATTTAAAGAGACGGCGGCATTTGCAGGACCTACAGATGAGATAGTATAACACGAATCCAACCAACAAACTACTCCAGCCCTGCCAGCACCACAATGACGATTCGTCGTGCGCCTGCTTGTATGCCTATTATTGAAGAAGTTTTGGAATGGGTTGAGATGGCGACAGCGATATAAGGAAGAACTGCTCACTCTTCTGGATGTGCGGACATCGATAGCGGTAGCGGCGTTTGCTACCAAATAAGTTGGTTCACTCGTTTACCGTCTGTCTTCTTGCTCGCTGCTAACGTTAACCGATCCAGCAAATATCGTTTCTCGCCTTGGCGCTAGCAGTAGACACCGCGCTGACGCTCGGGCAGTCATATGAAGGGATGATGCTGTTGCGATGGCAACCTGCGCTTTGTCCATTCGTTCGCTGCTTCATCGACTGACTTCTGAAAACGGCGAAGAGATGCTTTGGCGGCGGTTTTGAAAATCTCTCGCCCCACTCATGCCTTCAATCGGAGCCGAGCAGACCGAAATAGCTCAAAAAAGCAGAGTATGCCAGGACTAAGTAACATCCGAAAGAGAGAGAAAAGTAGTCAGTGGGACATCAACTATAGACCTCTGACGATGGACCAAAGGCGACCGTTTGTTGATGTTAGATAAAAGGGGGATGCTCAACTTGCTGGTTATGATCGTTAGTTTCCCAGAAATATAACAGATTGGACAAGAAGATCAACACACTTCAACGCTGACGCCTTGATATGCGTGTACCCATGAAGCTGCAGGGCCATTGAGATCTCGCAAATTCTTCTCATTAATATCATCTGTCAGTCTACGAATATAACTAATCCATCCGATTGAGCCCAAATTTCTAACCTTATTATCCCTAGCCCCACCCCAAACTGAAACATTTTTTAATGAAAACCTTAACACTCACTGACAAACTTGTTATGCTGTACGCTGCTTTTATTCGGTGTTCCGATTTAGAAAGCAGGATTTCTTCTAGCACAGTCTTGGGTGCCTGCCTCACTTTGGACAGACGTCAGCCAGCCTTACATTTCTATGGTACTAGAAGTTTGAACTACGTAAGCAAACAAACAAACAAAATATGAAATTTGTCGCCGCGTCAAACTCGTCGCATTGTCGCCGCCAAGACGCGGTAACGCCTTAGTAGTAACGCATCGAATGATGTGATCACGTTGATGTTATACGTGAATTAAAATTCGCATGAAACTTCAACGGAAGTTTGAGGCACGATCGTAGATGAGACGTAAAAACAGTGGCTGGCGAATGTAGGCAGGCTAACTTCTGTGTAGAATGAACAAAAAACGAACACATGCGACAATAGGGAAGCAGTAACTACAACTGGCTAGACATATGCTGACAACTCCCTTCGTAAGCTAGTAGTAACTGGTTTTTGCAGAAAAATAAGCGCATTTACTGTTACTTGCTTACCTTTTTTCTCTGGCAATATCGTGCAGTGAGCGGCAGTAGGCTTGGCTTGACAGTTTTCTCCCTGGCTGTCTGTCTAGACCCTACGCCGTGAACCAGTTAGTCAGTACTATCACACAATTCAGTTGAGGGTCTCACCATTGGACCGCAATTAACCTGGTGAACTCACGGGAATCTACGTGTGTGAATTGAAAGACACACAGCGTTAACGGGCGGTCTTATGTAACGACCACGAAAAAAGGGCCGAAATTAAAAATGACCAGCCGACTTAAGTCCGGGAAGGCCAATGGCTGACTTGACCAGGTAGCCAATGAACGGACCTGACTGACGACTGGCATCTACTGTGGGCAATCAAATCGTGTTGGCTTAATAGCTGCCCTGGTGAGTTGCATACCTCGATGTACTTTAATTATACAACGATGATTATAAACGGCAAAGAAACACTGCAACAAATATAGTTTTGTTTTTTTCAAAACGATCTAATCAACTTTCAGCCTTCCTTCCTAGGTCTGCAGCTGCTAGAGGCCGACGAGCACTTTTCTACACCAGATTAATAGATATATATATATTACATCACTATCGCCCATAAGTACTTATATATGTCAGCAGACGTCGCGCACTACATGTACGTACGTTTCTGTTGGTAATTGTTCGAGTTCATCTAGCCGTCGTAATATATATATATATATATATATAAAGTTATCGTTGTTATTTTCACTATAACGGAACGCATACACACTCTCCGTTCGTCGAATTTTTGTGAAAGCGTCACAAATTTACGCCGGCTATCGAGCGTCCGTGTGCAACAATGACTAGTGCTTCTAGTGGCGTAATCGCTATAATGATATAAAAGTAATTATAACAACAGTGGTGACAGTGGGATACGGCACTAAAGGAATAGGCGATCGTGGCAGCATTATGGCTACGATCACTTGTCTGTCAGGATAGCAAATTTAGTATTTGTATATAACGCTGTTGCTACTATAGCATATGGTGTCACTGACGCTGTTCGAATTGGATGCCGTGCAGGGAATTGGCAAAGCAATATCAGCGGCTGTATGAAACAAACGGCAATACGGCAACAAGCTCCACTAACGGCCCAATTAGTCATTGGCCTATCGGATAATCTTAGATCGGTAGATGTCGCCGCTGTCGCTACGATAGCAGACAAACGGTTGCCATCCCCCCAGCTTCTCTCCTACGATAATAATCATAACAAACAGTAACGAGCAAATAACCGTTAGAGCTTGCTTCTAAATAACTACGCTTAAACGAAACGATGAAATAGCACCAGCAGCGACTGTGGGGCACAAGCCAGTGTCGCCTTAAGCTTGACGCGCTTGGACCAGTACGTTGTCCATCGTGAATCGCACACCAGTAGCACAAAACAACGAATAAAGAGATCCTGAAAATAGAAGTAGCACATATTGACAACTCTCCCATTTGCCGTCGGCACTGATACCTCCATTGCCACAGCTGCTATTGCATAGTGACTTTCACATACATAGCGGTATCAACGACAGATACACGTATAGGTATTGTTGTAGATGAACTGATAACAGCGAAAAAATATATGCAAGGGGCTTATCAAGGAAAGGAAAAGGAAAACGAAAACAATGCCAAACGATGATGTCAACGCAGTGGTTGGCTAGCTGCTACATCGAAGGCGACACAATTGAATAAGGGATAGTTTCTTCTCACGTAATGGAGAACGAGCCGGTCTATTATTCATGTGCACGTTTATTTGATACCTAGAAAATCGTCATTCGGCCAGTTCGTTCTCCTTGCCCCGGGTCGCATTTTGGCTGATAGCACCATATAGGCAATCGACGTACGTAGGCAGTCAGTGACGTGTGGTCCAGACGGGTAGTGATAAACCCTCGCTGTTGGTTTTCGAAACGGGAATGAACAGCCTGATGTCACACAGTGATAACGTCATGAGTGGACTTTTAATTTGTAGCGGCTAAATGTCGCCCTGAGTTTTGCGTAGCGGAAATTGCAAAAAGAAATTTATGCCGTTTTTCCCGAATTACGAGGCGTCATCGCCTGGGCCTCCTCTGCTTTACTTTGTTTTCTACTTTAATTTGGTGTCTTTTAGCTACAAACCAGCCAAACGAATATAGGTGCTCCGCTTGCCCATATGCATAAAAACAGCAAACATACCATCTGGTAGGCGATATGGCGTATTACTATTATTACCACCGCTAGTACTTCGCGGATGTGTCGTTTTTAGTCAACATTAGGTACAATACGGCAACTCTTTTCTATAAAAAAACAAGAGCTCATCCGTCACTTTGCGACTATTTGACTCGCTGTCTTCCAGCCCCGACTTAACGAAAATTAGCCTTTGCGTTCACGTCTCGGTTCGAGCGGGCTTACGAAAGCTGCTTTCGTTTTCGTGGCAGAACACCGTAACGCGAAGCTACCTAGCCACTAGCTTCAGCTGTAGGAACGTCGTTCGCGTCTCTTCGTAACGTATACACATGTTCTACGTATGAACATCAGCGATAGCAGTAGCGGACAAAGGAAAAGAAGCGATGCAGGGACAGGAACCCGTGAAGAAAAAAGAGACGATTTTCTGACGAGAGATAGCGGTGGCGGCGGCGGCGGCGGCAGCGGCGGCGGCGGCAGCGGCAGCGGCACATTGACGCTCATGTTTATGCCTTTATACTATGATACTTTAAGAAATGGCAATTTATGGTGCGTTCAAGCTGACAAAGGGAATTTCGTTGCCACTGCTGCCAACACTCGTGAATCCCGGCGACTCGCGGATGAAGGCGAGCGAACGTGCGATCAAAATTGAACTGCTTCGATTCAAACCGATATGGTGGCTTAATTTGGGTCTTGACCGAATTCTTCCGTCTACTCCAGAACACGTTTAGTAGTTGCTTACGACAGTTGGTTGAAAACTGTGGATAATATGGTGCCAACGACTAGTAGTCGAGCAGAAACAGAATCACGCAGTAAAATTGGAAAAAGACATTTTCACTCGAAGGCTACTTAGTATACTAAATGCTAGTTATACTCGAGAAGGTACCGCAGAACGAAAACATTTTCTGCTCTGTAACCGTAAGTTCGCTCGCCGTCAACCCGAAAATGATGAATTTAGTGTACGCAAAAGTCCTCAGCTGCAGTACAGCTGTGTCTAATATCATCGAAGCAGGTAAATAAGCGTATGCCATGATCTGGGTCATTTATTGAAACGATATCGCGGAGCACAGTCTTCATGCGGTGGGATGCTCCAGATTGCCAATACACAATATGTTCCATGCGCGGCCAACTGCTAGTCGGAGCAGCTGGTCATTATCTGTGCAATCTAAAATTCGCGCGTCTCAAATCTCCGAGAAAATGCTGCATCGGCATTGTGGGCATCACCGCACACTTCGGGAGCTTTGCTACTTCTGCCATTGCCGTTCTATCTATATTACGGTATTATATATAGATGTATGTTATGTTTGGTCTAGCATCTAGCAGACGTCATTTGGAACAGTTCTTTCTGTTGGCATGCCAACGAAGAGAGATTCCGGTGGCAGCTGACATTACCTGTTTCGCACAAGTCGCATCAAATGGTTTAAAATTGCTGTTGTGTTTTTATTCTTTCGATTTAATTCTATGCAGAGCCGAGTCGGCAGACGCGAACATCACTTCCTCGAAATACAGTTCGATTTCAAACCTTTATTTGCTTAGAGTGCTTTACAAAGTGGTCATAGCTCAAAAAACGAACTTTGCTTCGTAACGGTAGCCTAGCAATCGTCAACGGAGGGGTGAGTAAGTAAATCATTACAGCTACAGAATCGCGAGAAATAACCGAGTCTTGAGACGAAGAAGTGGCAGGGGTGCCTCTGCTGAGTTACCGCCGTCACATTTGACAGCCGTTCGAGCGATCTTGACGCACACGCTTCAATCATGGCCACTGCCGTTGTTTCGGCGATCGCCGCTAAAGCCGTGGTCACACTGACGACAGTTTGTCATCGCTGAAAAATGACAGAAATGCTTTTCATAGCAAATGTCGATATCACCATACGGAAAATAATCAGAAAAAACTAAGTTGAAAACGAGTTTGCGAACATTTTTAAGCCGTTATATATATATATATATATATATATATATATATATATATATATATATATATATATATATGCTCGTGCAAAGAACACAGATGTGAGCATTACGGAGCGGAAGCGTCGGCTGGCTGTCAAGGGCATACATTTTTCACAGGAAAAGAATCAATACGTTGACGATAATGGCACGTTTAATATCGTAGTAATACCTATGGTACTGGTAGTAATAACAGTGCTTACAGGTTATACGGTGCGATTGGCAGAGGATAACAACTCGAATTGGTGGCGTTTTTTTTTTTTGTTCGCTTCCTTTTCATTATTCATTAGTCACTGGCTCATTCACGCGTGTGTAAAAGCGTCTTTCTCGCCGCGAAATCTGTTTGTGCTTCTATACGTGTGTCTGAGTACCTATTCGTGTACGTCTGCTTGTTCGACGGAGGCGGACAATGGTAGCTCTGCTGCTATTAACAGCACTCAATGCGGACCCTGTTAGGAACTCGTTGTTGTATTATATAGACAGTTGTGTGGGCGTAAGTGTGTGTGTGTGTGTGTGTGTGTCTATGAAAAGTTGGCTCGGGCAGTGGCTGCCATGTCTATAGTAATGTATGAGTGCGCTTGCAGTGACCCGCAAGCAATAGGAAGAACTCCTGGGCGAAAAGTCAAACGAATCTTGAGACTGACATGTCTGTCACGACGTTCGTCGTTGATCCAAATGAAGACGCGCGTCAAATGATCCAGCGACGTTATCTGTCCTTTGCGATGTTTCGCCTCTTCATGACTAACGTAGGGTGAATGAGGTCTGGCCTTTTACCTTTTTCGTTTTTGGGCGATGCTACTTACTTGACTATTTAGCGTTCCTTGGCAAAGATGGCGGTGAAAAGTGGTGTTCGCAAGAGGCGACATTAACGTTCTCTGTTAGGAATTAAAAAACGTTTGAGCCAACTTGCTACACATCCGCAGATGTCCTAAGATGTGTAAAAGTCGTATGGATCATACAGAAGACCCAACAGTTATTCGTTAGCGAAACGCGCTAATAATGTACATAGGCATGAAGCGCAAATGATCGGGGAACTAGCAGAAAAGTCACTTCTGATGGAACTTGATGGACGCGCTTCTAAGATAAGCGATGATCGCCTTTCGATCTATTGGTGGGCTTAAGAAACGTATTGAAATAAAACATCTGAGCCACACTGAATACTAATTGCGTTTGGTAGCAACATCCTGTACTAAAGCCTACAATCGTTAAGAAGTTCTCCACATTTTTAGATCGAGGATACATTCTGTTTCTGACCTGCTTTTGATCACTGGGTAGGATATTAGCTCACGGCAAACAAGTGGCATAAGCTTTGCAGAAGAAAACATTTGTATCCATGCCTTAATTAAATGAAATGGTTATTTCGAAATTAATAACACAGATAGATTAGTTTTTGCTGGGTTCACACTTCAACATGCATGATAACTGTCACAATATCGTCTGTAGAAATACAATTGGCCATGTTCGTTCTCTATGAAGAAAGTTCACGCTTCCTTATGGCAAATTGTTTCATAATGCTTTCACATCAATATTCTGTACTCTCAATATAGTGTTCTAGTCTTCGGAAGATAAAATACTACTTGCCGCTGAAGCGTAATGCAAAAAAAAAATATTTATTCCAATCTTGGCAGACCATGCAGGAGGGAGCCAGCTTCTTTTATGCGAATTAGGCCTTTACTCCTGGAAGAACAATCATTATTTGTGCTGCAGTTTTTAAGGGTGTCGAAAGAATAGGCGGAATAAAATTAAAAG